AAAATTGATCTATAAATATATTTTAGGTTTAAAAATATGGATTTTTTTCACTTATTCAATATTCAGTCTTCTATTTCCTTTATTTATTATACAGATAGTGTAAAAAGTTTGTGCTATCAGTGCAAAAAACAGATTTCTAATTTTATATCATGCTAATAAGCATTGGTATCTAATGCTAGATTTTTTTTAAATAAAAAGTTCTTCTGATTTTCTTTAAAACGGTATTTATTTTTTACTTTTATTACCGTCTTCCTTGGAAGACGGTATACAGAGTTAACTTAAGGAACATTGATACTCTGATAAGAGAGATAACTCTTACTGATACAAATGTCTATTATTCCCTTATAAATTTGTCAAGTTGAAGTGCATTTTTTGTCAAATTTTGCCCCGCAAGCCATGCTATAATTGTTTGCATTTTATTCAGCATACACATTTCCTTTTGAAAATCATTAAAGTTCAAGAACAAATTTATATGAGTGAGCAGGGGGTTTATGAACCTTAAGTAATTTACAGTCTTCGGACTATGAACTTCCTCTCTTTTGTGATTGGTAGAAATTGCATGGTTTAAAATTTTTCAGTTATTTCATTGGTTGAAATGTTGTATCCTTAATTAGACATTTAATGACACAAAAAAGTAAAACCCTTCAGGGATGTGTATTTTTTATTACGGTATTTAACAATACACAACGTAACCACGAAAATATATAAAACTTCTTTAAAATTGCAGTTGATCACACATAGAACGTTATTCTCTCATTAGAACCGTCTCTCATATCGCCCCAAAAATCTGCTCAAAATTTGAGTGCTCTTCATCAAATATTCACACCCCGTTCACTAGATTTGATCTTAAAGGTACTAGTATCACAAAGATCGATCCCGAGGAACAATGCCGGAAAATGTTGTTTTTTTTTTTCGTATGATTGACAAAATACAAGTATACGCAATGGAAGAAATATATCGTGTTATTATCAGTCTATACGTCACAGCATGGTCTGATTTTGTCCTCCTGCTCCCTCGTTCTTATTAAGAGACATTGGGAGGGTGATTATATCTTTATTTGTTGCCCTTTAACAATTGCTGCCTCACCTTTTGTCCTCAATCCATTTGTGCTGTCGCATTTCAGTCTCACTCTCTTTTTTACAACTCACAAACAAGTGCAATAGCTAAACTCAATCACAGAAAAATCATTCATTATTCGAGATTGTCCTGTACAGGAAAAGGTCTCTTGATAAGAAAACCGGTATTTTGAAAGAAATAATATTTTCATAAAAATGCATTATTTTGCAGTTAATGAAATGTTCTTTATTTGTACTACAAAGGGGTAAAATCTATGTGGCGTAACATTTCATTTCTTTCTTGGAAAAATGCGTAAAGTAACAAAACAAGAATCTGAGAAAGTATAAAACGAGACGAATTACCAGTACACAATGCATTCAATAAACTAGACCTCATACATTTCCTGAGATTCTACTTTGTTTCATTACCACTTTGATTGCTAAAAAGGATCTTGTGCAATATAACAACGTACATAAAAATTCCTCATATGTGCCAGGTATGAACATAAAAAATCAAAAATCACAACCTCAGGAGCAAAACTGCAGTTCAAAGAGTTCTTTTTAAACTTTATAAGTTCATTGGTTAATCACGGTCACATGATCATCATGACATAGGCCTGCCTCAAACTTCATCCCCCTGTGCGGACTCGTTCACTTTCTTGGATTTCAGTAAAGAATTTATCATAAACAATACCTGATCTAGTTTCTGGTCCATTTTATTTAACTGCAAAATATAAGAACTTTATATTAAAATAAAAGAAAAGCAAATAAATTTAATAAAACAAGAACAGTTTTAAAAACATATATTTCCCTATGTAACAATATTGAAATGGTTAACTTTAAATCTAGAATGCCTGTAAAGTGAAAGTGAAACAAAAGTAACCTTTTGCACATGACCCATGTAGTCAGACGCAATCAAATTTAGTCTACTCTCAATATTTTACTTCTTAGTACCAGCGTGCCAAGTTTAATGATTTTCAAAGATACTGAGGGGTCAATCTTTTCCCATGTCCTAAACTTAAATTTTGTGACCTGGAAGTCTAGATACATAGGCGTCGGAACCGTGGGGGGGGGGGGGGGGGCTAGGGGGGCTTAGCCCCCCCCCCCCCCACTTTTTTTCCCAAATATATACTTAGTATAGGCATTGAACATGTCTTCGTAGGTTAGCCCCCCCCCCCCCACTTTCCACAGATACGCCTTAGTATAGGTTTAAAATGGGGAAAGTGGTGGTGTTTGGAAAAAAAAATTTGGTACTGAGTTCGAACCAACCCCCCAACCCGCCCCCCCCCCCCCTTCCACGACGAAATAGGATTTTCGTGTTTGGGAAATGGACATTTCTTTTTTTTATGTTTTTTGTTTTGTTTTTTTTTTTTTTTTTTGCTTGTTTGGTTTTTTTGGCGGTAAAAATTTTTTTTTTTACATTTAGCCCCCCCCCCCCCCCACTTTCAATTTGCTTCCGACGCCAATGAGATAAGATATCAACTCCATGAGAAAAACCAAAGACGTCAGTCGAGCAATTGTAACGCGTCATTTGAATGGGTAAACCTGGGTTGCTTACGTCATATTGACTTCTGTCAAAAACGTAAAACTATCAATCCGCTTGACGTTACATTTAAAATATGAACAAGTTGAAGACGTTTTTAAGGGAGAAATTGTTTTGTTTTCTATACTTAGTGATCGAAAATTATATTATAAGGAATGCATTAATAAACAGCAACCCAAGTTATACTGATATAACTTGGGTTGGGTCAGTTTACGTTTTTTCTCTAAACCGTTTCATACAGCATAACTTGGGTTGCTATTTTAATTCATTCCCTAAATGTCTTCTGTAGTTTGACCTTGACCTTTGAAATAAACCCATAAAAATCGTTTCAATAGAGGTCATTTACTCCTTAATACTGAGAACCAGTGTATCAGGTTTAATTTTATGTCAAGTAAGGGGTATCTAATATATTTAACAGTCAATATATTCCCGTGTCCAGTTTGGCCCTTGATCTTTTGACCTCCACTTATATAATGAAACTCCCTAGGGGGAACCAATGTACTATTGATGCTTCAAAATACTTGAAGATAATTTTATATATTTAATTCATATAAATCATTATTAATATTCATCGTTTGTAGTTAAATACCTGATTTTCACACCGGACAACTCTTGCACTGATGGTTAATTTTTCTCGGTCCTTATGGTAACCACTGGAATATAATGTGCTGGGCTTCCCGAGTGTTTGGTCTAACCTAGCAAATAAGGAAAGAGGTTCCGTTTTCTTGTTCTATTTCTACCCAGAGTTATTGTTCCTTTAACTTGCCTCAGATTATTGTTAAATAAACCTAACATCATGAGATTTTTTTTCATAAAATAATCTTTTGAACGCCACAAAAATATACATAGGTGTAATGTTTATCAATTTTGTCATGTGATATCTTAAGAGTCATTCTCTGTAAGAATCAAAGAATTTAGAAAAAAGATGGAAATGGTACATCACAGATTTGGCTGATTTTTTGCATGCAATGTAGAAACACCATGTATAGAACATTTTGGGGGTTAATTTTTTATTTTGAGTCCCGGTTGCCATGGTAACCAAAACCACCATTTTGAGGCCAAAAATACAGAGCAACCTACTGAAAGTATACCATCTTCATCATAAATTTCTATTTTCTGTATATTATTTACATATTTAATTGTTGTCTACTCTGATAGACTATTTGTTGGAGTAACTACCACAACTAATGAAATTATTCAGTAGTTGGTCATAAAAGAGTTGTGTTCCAGTGAAAAGTGTGAATTTTTCAAAATTTTACAAATTTGAAAAAATGCCAATTTTTGGCATTTTCTAAGCATAGTAGCAAGAAAACGCGGGCAACCCATAACAAACAACTACCATCACTGAAAAGGTCATTCCTAACTCAACAAAATATAAAATTTCTAGAGAGGTATTATTTCTTAAAATAAAATAAAACGAAAACAAAAATGGTTGCTATGGAGATTTTGGATTAATTTGTAGATTCAACATTTGGCTCCTCTTTGTACATTATAACTTTAAAAAGGTCAAAAGTAAAGCAAATCACACAACTAAACATCATAATTTTACAATATTATGATAAATATGTAAGTTCATAAATTAAACAAAAATAATTTGTTACTATGGCAACGAAAAAGTCAGGAAAAATCACTATAGCTAATGACGTTATCATTATGCTGAATCTGTGGCCTCGGTGCATGATTTAATTTCTTCAGTTTTAAATAGATAACACTTATTATATTTGTTATTTCACTTATGTACATTTTAAAGAAAAATAATTAAAAATTCAAACATCTAAAATCACGTTGCTATGGTAACCAAATAGTTTTTGAACACTTCCTTATATTGGTTGTTATCACAAATTTTGTCATACTGACAAGTATACAACAAATAATATAGCTTCATTCATTATTTTTTTTCTCTTTTTCAGTAAAATAGATTGAATTAAATTGTATTTCACTAAATATCAAAATAGTAATTCATAATTTATTTTTAAAAATGGTTGCTATGGCAGCCAATAGTTCAGGAAAATCCTTTTCATTGATATGTTTTATATACAAAATCTACTGCTTTATTGCACGATTATGTGTCTTCTTCAATAAAATAAATTCTATAAACCTTGTCATTTCACTAACATGAAAAAAGACTATAAATTCATAATTTAAAAAAAAACAGTTGCTATGGTAACCAAATAATTCAGGAATGATCCAAATAAGTATTGATGTACCAGTATACAAAACTCATAGCACTGCCACCAATGTTTGTTTATACTTCTACTTAATTTATTTACCGGGACATAAACAGATGAACTCAAACTTAAACTGACATATATCTGAATTACTGCAGCAGGATTTGTTTCCATGGAAACAATAAATACCGACATAAAATCATGACCAATCTTTTGGAAGCAACTTGCTTTATTAATTGAAACATATATAACATATTTTAACGTGTACATGCACTTCTTAGTATAGTAGGACAAGCACATAGTCAAGAGTGCCCCCCCCCCCCACCCCACCCTCCTCGATTCAACTTGTTTTTGCTGTTATTGAAATGATCTTTTGCTGTTCCTTTCGTAAGGAATTATTATACCACCGCTACGAAGAAGAGGGGGTATACTGATTTACCTTTGTGTGTCAGTCCGTCCATCTTTCTGTATGTCTGAACGTAGCAAATGTTTGGTTGCAGTTTTCTCAGCAATTACACATGTATCACTATTCATTGAAAATGCTTGAAATTTTAGCACAGTATTTGCTAAGGCATACATTGTGGAATTGGTGGGTAACATTTGAGTTTCTTAAATCTGATGTCAATTTCCTGTTTATCCGTGCGTCTGTCTGTACCGTACATAAAAAAAATGTTGAAGTTTCCCAGCCGAGATAAGCGTGAATCATACACATTAAGAATGACAATCAAAATTCAGTATGTAATTTAAAGATTTTGTGATTTTGTTCTTCCTCATTAAGGCACAGAGGGTAAAATAAGTATTTGGGAAAGTGCAATTAGATTGAAAGTATATAATCATACATACCACCGCCACTCTTATTAGTTCCAAATCACTATCCGCATAGGCGTCTATGCCCCGGAACTGACATATATCTGAATTATAAGGGGAAACTAAAGCCCCCCCCCCCACTTTTTTTCCAAATGTATACCTAGTATAGACATTGAACCTTGTATCGTAGGTTTAGCCCCCCCCCCCCCCCCCACTTTCCACAGATATCTCGTAGTATGGGTTAAAAAGGGTAAAGTTTTGGAAAAAAAATTTTAGGTACTAAAGTTTGAACCTAACCCCCCCCCCCCCCACTTCCCACCACCACCACCACGAAATAGGATTTCCGCCTTTGGGAAATGGACATTTCCTTTTTTTTTTTTTTTTTTTTTTTGCTTGTCAGGTTTTTTTGAAGGTAAAAAAAAAATTTTTATTACACTTAGCCCCCCCCACTTTCAATTTGCTTCCGACGCCAGTGATCCGTAGGGGCTATGCCCCTGGGAGTGAACTCCCTATAAGCTTTTGAAATTCAATCTACAGAGAACCTCATCGATATCTGGCAGGAAAAATATAATGATCTGAAATAGTTTTCTGGGGGATTAAAGTGAGGGGGGATAAAATGTTACCAACCCTCCTCCAATATGTTACAAAAGGGGGGGGGGGTGATTTATTTGTATTAGTATTTTTTTCAAGTTAAATAACTTATTTTTATCTAAAACTATTTGGAAAGCTTCTTAAAAATATTTTCCAGAACATAAAGTCTGTGATAAATGGAATACTGAGATGTCCTTATAAAATATGACAAAATCAAATATAATTTTTTTTTCTCTGCTATAATTTGGGCACATAAATCCATTATTTCAACAACGACCATTTTACATATCCCCATTTTCTGCATGCACGTACAGTGAACTCCTCTCCACTGAAAATTGCCGTATTTCCCTATAAACTTTAATGTATTCCTTCATTATATATTGTTTCAGTAAAGTGTACACATTGTATTATAAATTTGGCATAAATTCAACTGTTGTAGTGTTTGCTATGACAAAAAATCTTAATATAAATAATAAATTAAATTATTTTTTCTTTGTTGCATAAAATAATCTGATGTTAAAGAAATAAATTCCTACGTTCTTTCATTTTTTGGCAATAACTTCAAGTTCTTAAATGAAAGGGCACATTCATTCACAATCATCGACCCATTCAAAAAAAAAAAACTTGCATCAACAAATTTCAACCCTGCAAAAATTGAAATCTAAGAGAAAATCGCAGTTTTGTCACGTGTTCAGTTTAGCGATGTGATTTCATAAAGTCAACATGTAAAATAAAAAAATTAATTAATTTTAAAAATGATTAATAAATGAAATTAATTCTTTTAAAAATTGATGAAATGCCTTACATGGCAATAACTTTTTAACCCCCCCCCCTTTTTTTTCAAGCACACAAATAAAAAGCTGTTGTGAGGTATTTAGCTTTTATCATATATACAGGTGTCTCATTATATCGCGGTACTTAATTCTTTTGCATAAAACGTGTCATTTCTAATTTTTATTTTAACTTACATCAAATGATAATTATAATTCTAACTTTGGCCTAACTTTTCAGTGTCCATTTATTTTCCAAGCTTGCATCGTTTAATTTGTGGTCTATTTTTAAAACAGGAAGTCTTATTTACCTCCTAAATTGGAGAGTCTCATTGTATCGCGGTATGGGAATACATGGAAACTTGTAAATGACACAGACCTCAATTTTTATTTTTGAATTTACGATGTAATTCTACATGAAAAAGTGAACAATTGTATATACTAAAGACTTAAAAAGATGAACTTTATTATAATTTTTACGAGGTTATAATTCTAATGGTCTAAATATAATTAAAACCGGACTGGAAATCTGAAAATTTCGTTTTATTTTTTTTTCAAACGGATGTTCCGTACTTCTTAATCATCAAAAAATTAAACATTCAGACAACATTCATATCGTCTATCAACAAAAAGAATATAGGCTATGTATCCACATTTTTGCGATATACCGCGATACAATGAAACCCGCGATATAATGGGAATCGAGTATATACCGAATTGCTTTATATAATTTAGTTTAATTCGGAAAACATATATAATTTTTATCAACAGACGGTTTATATAATTTTCATCAACATCTGATTTTAATAAGACTGATAATATGTCTATACTATAAATTATTGATATAATTAAAATCATGTTATTATTTATGCTTTGGGTACTTTAATGTTTTTTCTTAAAATAAATAGGCATACCCTATTATTAATAAACTCATACAAAATATGTGCAACTTTCAATGTACGTGGTAAATATTTCATTGGTACTTGCCTAGTGATCTTCGTATTGCCATGTATATTTCTTCATCACAACCTTATTATCACACCCTTAGCTCTGAAGTCTATTTAACTGATGTTACTTTGTTTTTAAACACTTTTTTTTCAATGATGCAGCACTTGTTGTCACAGAGGCAGATATTTCATAGGATGCAATCCATTTTTGAGTTTATCACATCTATACACAAACATGTATATCTCTCAGTCACAGTAAAGCCTGAACAATCATTTAACAGTTTAACTATGGGTAATGTTAAATACTTCACAAGTTGGATCAAAACCCCTAAAAATATCCAAAACAGACAGTATTTACTCCTCAAAGTCCTTTTCTGCTGTGTACTTTCACTTTCATTTTCATTGATTTAAGCAAAAGATTTCCGAAAGGGGAAATAACTCTTGTCAAAAATGTGTGTAAATTTAGA